GGGGCATGGCACCCACCACGGATGGTCAGCAGGAGTCTGAATAAAACATTGCTGGAAGGAGCTGGCGCCGTGGTATTATTCTCACCTGGCCCTGGCCCTACGCGCCCTGTGCCCTCGCTCAAGGCAGGGTAGAGCCAACAATAGAACCCAGGAGTCCTGGCTCTCCACGGCCCCCCCTCCCAGCGGTGGGGATAGAACCCAGGAGTCCTGGCTCTCCACCCCCCCCCGTCAGAACCGACCCCCCCCAGGGGTAGGGGTAGAAGCCCCCCACTATAAAAGGGAAGCAGGAACCCTGAGCAGCTGTCGCGGGGGGGGGGGGCTCTGGGCCACGTGGCTGTGGGGGGAGTAGGGGCCCGGGGGGCTGGGCCCTGTCACCCCAGCCCAGCCCCCAAACCCTGCCCCCCCTCCAGAGCCCCGGGAGGCAAGAAGGAGGCAGAAGTTACAGGCCGTGGGCCCCTCTGCTCCCTCTCGGCCGCCCCTGGCGCTCCGGGTCCCCGCACACCACCCCCACGTCCTCGCTGTGGGCGCAGTCGTGTTGCCCGGGGGGGGCGCTCCGGCACTCCAGCAGGCTGCGCTCCGAGCCCTGGCACCGCACGTCGTCCAGCAGGATGGGCAGCGCGGCCCCTTGCCCGAACTCCGCCCGGCGCGCCACCCTCAGCGCCCGCTCGTAGCCCAGCTGCCGGCACACCACAGCGGCCGCCCGCCCGTCAAACTGATCATCACAGACTGTGCCCCACTGGCCCCCCACCAGGATCTCCAGCCGACCCCGCCCAGGTGCTGCACCCCTGTGCACCAGCCGCACCGTGCCAGGGGGCAGCTGCCGGGCGGGGCCCTTTGCCCCCAGCCGCCTCCGGGGTCCCCTCTTCCTGGGGTGGTGCCCAGCCGCTCGCCTGGGAGGGTGGGGGGTGGCAGGGGGTGGCAACGTTCTGTGGGGCAGATGGAGGTTGGGAGCTGGGGAGGTTGTGGGGTGCCACCCCGTGCTGGGGGAAATGTGGGGGTTGGGGGCTGGGTGGGTTGTGGGGGGTGGCCCCGTGCTGGGGGAAAGGTGGGGGTTGGCTGGGTGGGAGGTGGGGGGCCACCCCGTGCTGGGGGAAAGATAGGGGTTGGGGGGCAGCCAGGGGCTGGGGGAAAGATGGGGGTTGGGGGCTGGGTGGGTTGTGGGGGGTGGCCCCGTGCTGGGGGGATGGTGGGTGCTGGGGGGCCGGGAGGCGCGGCTTTGTGGGCTGCTCTTGGCCTCCAGACGCTCCAGCAGCTGCTGGTACCAGTTGGGGGTGGTGGGGGGCAGCCTCGGCTCTGGCCGGGGTGTGGGACGTGCCTGCAGCACCCCACAGTCTGGGCGAGCCGGGGGCCTGGCCGGTACAGCTGGGCTGGGCCGAGGGGTGGGCAGGGCCAAGGGCTCTGGGCCTGTGCAGGGGTGTGTGTGGCCCAGGGGATGGGTGGCAGGTGCCAGGGGGGGTCCAGCTGTTCCCATTGGTTCTGAGCCGGTGCCAAGCCGTGGGGTGGTCACTGCGGGCGGTGGGGCCGGTGTGATGAATTCTGCAACAGGAAGGGGGGGGGCTCATTTGGGATACAGCTCTCGCCCCCCCGCACCACGTTTATCCCCCATTTACAGAACAAACGTACAGAACTGCCCCCGCCCCCCAGTGAGTCGGAACCAGACCCAGGGACAGAACCCCCCCCCCTCGGCTCAGTCCCCCCCCCGCAACTCACTCTGTGTTGGGCGGAAGTGGATCAGTTTCCCTTGGATGGCGACGGGCACAGGGCTGATCCCGCACTGTCCGGGGGATGCCCGCCTGTGGGGAGAGACACCCGTTACAGGGGGCCCGTCCTGTACGCAGCCCCCCCCCACCCACACACACACCCTGGGAGCCAGCCAAGCCATGTCAGAGCGAGACGGGGCCACGCCTTGCCCATGAACCTGCCAGGGCCAGCGGGCAAAGGGGGGGACAGTAGGTACCTGGAGGGGTCCACAATCCGGTACAAGATCCCAGCCGGCACGGCTGCACTGGCGATGGCCGTGGCGAGGAAATAGAGCTCCCCTGTGGGGACAGCGGGGTTAGTAACTGGCCACCAAGTCCTCCCCTCAGGGGAAACTGAGGCACAGGAGGGAGGCCACAAGTTTGTGGAAGCAACAAGAATAGAACCCAGGAGTCCTGGCTCCCGGCATTACCCCCTCCATTCTCCCCCACTGGACCCCAGACCCCTCCCACCACTGGGGCAAGAACCCATGAGTCCTGGCTCACATCACAACCCCCACTCTCCTCACCACCGGGGCAAGAACCCAGGAGTCCTAGCTCCCAGCCCCCATGGGACCTCAGACTCCTCCGAGCACTGGGGCGAGAACCCAGGAGTCCTGGCTCCCAGCCCCCACTGGACCCCAAACCCCTCCCAGCACCGGGGCGAGAACCCAGGAGTCCTAGCTCCCAGCCCCGGGACCTCAGACTCCTCCCAGCACCGGGGCGAGAACCCAGGAGTCCTAGCTCCCAGCCCCCGGGACCTCAGACTCCTCCCAGCACCGGGGCAAGAACCCAGGCGTCCTGGTGGAGCTCTGGCTCTAGGCTGCCCCCTTGGTGTCCTGGCTGTGCCCTCCCCCGCTCACCGGCCTCGTCCTCGGCGAAGGAGATGATGTGGGGCACGTGGTGGTTGAGGAGGCCGGGGAAGGCGCAGGTCTGGCCCTGGCCCATGCACAGCTCCTTGTAGTGCCAGCGCCCGGAGCCAGCCTCCTCCCGCAGCGACATCAGGCGCCTGGGGGGAGACGGAGCCATGGGGATGGGGGTCGGTAACCAACACGAGCCATGGGGGGGGTGGACTGTACCCACCCCCTTCCATAGGAGCCGTGGAGACAGTTGTATTGCCCCCTGCAGCCCCCCTGGGGTGCTCCGGGTCAGGAACTTCCCCCTCCCCACATTCCCACAAGGCAGAATCTGTCCTGGGGGAGGGGGGGTGGTTCTGTGTCCCATGCAGAAAATCCCCCTCATCCGTGGGGCACACTGGTCAGGGAGATGTCCTGAGAGCAGTTAGGGGGCAGCCCCATAGCCCCTCTGGGCCATGGATACTGCCCACACAGCACCCCGGATGGGTCCCCAGCAGGGTGTGACACCCCCCCCCCCGTGTGCTACCGGAGCGCTCCCCCTAGCCTGCAGCAGTAGCAGGCTGTTCTCCCTGGGCCTGTCCCAGGGGCCCAACCTACCCGCTCATGAAGTCCCCGAAGATGTAGAGGCCGTGCAGGTTGGGGCTGTGGCAGCCCCGGTACACGTAGCCCCCCGTCACCGAGCGCCCCAGCTCGTGCGAATAGGCGAATATGGGGGGGACGTCATCTGCAAGACATGGCGCGGGAGCAGCTCAGCTGGGGATCAGGGGGCAGAAACCCCCACAGCCCCTGCTCGACGCAGCCTCCCTCTCCCGCCCCACGGTGCTGGCACCACGGGCGTGTAGGGGGGCCCACAAGGGTTTATTGTACCTGGGACCCCAGAGTAATGGGTCCCAAAGCCCTTTCCCTGCCCCCCCCCAAGCCATCCGGTCCCCTGACCTGGGCCTGGGTGGAGACAGTGCCCCCCGAGGGGACAGGCCCCTGCCCCATTCCCACCCCCCACTGAGCCAGCCAGTCCCTGCCTGGGGCGGGAGGGGAGCCGGTGCCCCCGAAGGGACAGGCCCGTCAGGCCCACGGTGCCCCTCGGCGCGGCCGTACCGAGTGAGGCGTTGGCGCACAGTGCCTGGTCGTAGCAGGCGAACCCTTCCTTCGCCCGCCAGCCGTAGTTGGCGCCCGGCACGATGACGTCCACCTCCTCATACTTGTTCTGGCCCACGTCCCCGCAGAAGATGCGCCCGCGCCCGGCGCCACTGGCAGGGTCGCCCCTGTCCACGGAGCAGCGCCACATGTTCCGCACCCCGTAGGCGTAGACCTCGGGCTGGGCCCCAGGCTCCCCCACAAAGGGGTTGTTGGGCGGGATGCGGTAGGGGGGGCCGTCGGCCTCCGGCTCCACGTCGATCCGCAGCACCTTGCCCAGCAGGGACGACCTGGGAGGGAGGCAGGGGAGCTGGGAACAGACGCTGCAGGGGCAGAGCCGGGGGATCAGGGCCCCAGGGGGTTCAGGAACAGACCCGGGGGCTGGGACTGGGGGGGATCAGGACCCTGGGGGGATCAGGGCCCCAGGGGGTTCAGGAACAGACCCGGGGGCTGGGATTGGGGGGGATCAGCACCCCAGGGGGTTCAGGAACAGACACTGCAGGGGCAGAGCTGGGGGCTGGGCTGGGGGAGGATCAGGGCCCCGGAAGGGGGGGGGAAATCAGGGGTTCGGGGGAACTGCCCCACACAGAGCCAGCTAGTCTGCACTTTGGCCACCAGGTGGCAGAAAGGAGCCAAGTTCTCACCTATCAAGACCTGCCCGCCCAGGAACATTTCCCCTAAAATCTCCCCCCCCCTATTTCCTGCAAGGGGGCATCTCCCCCAACGCCCCATGCCGCCCCCGGGGCCCCCCAACATCCCCTGGGGTCCCCAACGCCGCCCCCGGCTCTCACTTGTTCTGGGCGTTGCCGAAGGCTCCGAAGGGGTCCCCCGCTCGCCCCCCGTCCCCTGTGAAGATGTAGAGCAGCTCGTCGGCCCCGAACAGCAGTTGCCCCCCGTTGTGGTTCGACGCCGGCTCCAGCACCTCCAGGAGGATCCTGCCGGGAAGAGGAGCCGGGTGAAAGGGGGGGGCACCCCGAACCGGTGGGGCAGATGGAGCGGGGAGGAAGGAGCTGCATGACAGGGGGCTGGCTCAGAAGTGGGGGGGATGGGGGGACTGGGAGCCCGGACGCCTGGGTTCTGCCCCCAGGAGTGCCCAGGCGGGAGGCCACTCACCTCTCGGAGCGGGGGTCGGCGGTGTTGGGGTCGTGGGCCGAGACGCGGAACTGGGAGACGCGGATGGTCTCGTGGGGCCCGGCGTGGGCGGAGTAGTAGACGTAGAAGGTGCGGGTGGCGCGGAAGCGGGGGTGGAAGGCCAGGCCCAGGAAGCCCCGCTCGTCGCCCGCCCAGGGCGAGGTGAGCACGACCGCCCGCAGATCCAGGAAGGGGCGCGCGGCCCGTGAGCCGTTGGCCAGGAAGACCCAGATGCAGCCCCGCTGCTCGGCCACGAAGAAGCGGTGGGAGCCGTCCCCGGCGTGCGCCATGGCCACGGGGTTACGCAGCCCGTTGGCCACCTCCCGCAGGCAGAGCTGCAGGCAGCCGCGGGCGCCCTCCCGCACCCGGCCCAACCCCTGGCTCAGGGCCGTGCTGTCCAGCACTGCCGGGTAGCAGTAGGTGGGGTCGCCCAGCTCCAGGGCGCCGCAGAAGCGGGCGCGGTCGCCCTCCAGCGCCAGGCTGGCAGGGTCCTCGGTCAGGAGGCTCAGCACGGAGCGGCACCGCAGCCAGAAGGCCGTGCAGTACGCGGGGCACAAGCCGGGCAGCGCCCGCACTGGGGAGCTCACATCCTCCGCGTCGTACAAGTGGGCAGCGTAGGGAGAGCACTCCTGCAGGGGCGGGGCAGGGGGTTAGCTGGAACACAGGAGTCCGGGCTCCTCGCCCCCCCTGCCCTAAGCCACCAGAGCCCGCTCCCCTCCCGGAGCCGGGGATAGAACCCAGGAGTCCGGGCTCCCAGACCCCTGGATTGAAGGGCTGTGTGGGGTCGAGTGGCTGGGACGGGGGTTCAGGACTCCTGGGTTCTGTTCATGCCGGGCCTGCTGAGACCAGACCTCCAAGGGGTGGGGGGTTGGGGACAGGCTGGGAACGGAGCCATGTGCAGCCTCCCAGTGGGAACCGCCGGGTGAGGTCACCCATGTCCCAGCCTAGACAGGATGTGGGGAGGGCTGGGCCAGGCCTGGAGCCGGCTGGAGCCGCAGGGAGGGGGTGCCAAGGGCACCCAGCTGGGCATGTGTCCCACGGAGCTGCTGGGGGTCCCCCGGCTCCCTCGCCAGACATGTGGGGCAGCAGCCTGGTGCCTGGCGCTGTACGTGTCCCCCTCCCGAGGAGCCCAGGGCAGCTGGGGGAGGCGCATCTGGGGAACTTGGGCACCCAGGTTGGGAGCTGGGGGGCTGGGGACCAGCATCTCTAGCCCAGCCTGGAGCCCCCCCACTGCCCCTCTGCCCCCCCCCCCGCGTGCAGTCACTGCTGATGGGGCCACCCAGGCTGATGCAGGGGCAAGTGAACGGGGCCCCCAGGGCTCAAAGGGCTCCCCCATGTCTGTACGTGGGGGTGAAACGGGAGAGGGGCAGGGCCCCAGCAAACCTGACATCGGGGCCAGAGTTCCCTTCACCGCCCCCCATCCCCCTGCCCTGCTATGCCACCAGCCCCACAGCCCCCTGCAAACGCCTGTGCCCTGCTGCCCACGCCCAGCCGGGCTGCCTGGCCTCTGCCCC